GAACCAAACCAAAAAAACAAAGAGGGCACAGAGCTGGTCCCGGCTCTTCACAAACTAAACCAACCATAACACAGGACAAATGTGAAACATGACAGAAACAACATTTACCTTTTTTTAAAAATTATTATTTTTTGTGCATGTACCGTCAAATTGGATCTGACTGGTACAGGAGGAGATTGCCCCTCCTTCTTCAGCAGAGCATCTGGTGGATTTGAACCGTGCACCTTTTGAATTGCAGTGCACCTTCTTGCCACTAGGTCACCAGAGCTCCCTCATTTACCTTTTCTTTTGAATTAGAAACACTTAAGGAATACCTAGCATGTGACAGGCACTGTACCTGAAAAGGTCTAAATAGTACTAGTAAAAGATCTTTCAACAGGAGTCCAGCCACAGCCACTTCTGTCAGTGACGACTCATGGACCCTCCTTTGGATCCACATGGCTGTAGATCTCAACAGGGACAATCCACCGGCTCTTTCTCCTGCCAAGCGGCTGGAGGACTCAAACTGCTGACTTTTCAGTGAGCAGGTCGACACATAACATACTAAGCTAAGAGAGCTCCTTCTAAACATATTCAACTAAGTTCTTTATAAACACTGAGTGCTTCCTAGTTTCAGGTCCTGTGCTACTCTCCAAAACTCAGTATCACTGAGTCAGAACTGATTCAGAGCTAATCCTCCATTGCATTTTCAGATACTGCAAGTATGAAGGAAGGAGACTGACCGCTTTCTCACCAGGAGCCGCTGGTGGATTCGAACCACTGGAGGTGTGGCCTGTGGACTAGCAGCACCACTCGCTACACTCTACGCCAGGGGAGTTCCCTCCTGTGTGATCTCCTTATAAATCAGGTTCCAGAATTAGAGATTTGGAGCTGAGAGACCATCTATTCTACTCTTTCCAGGTCACCAAGGATAAAAGGGAAAGTGAATTAACCATAGTCAACCAGTGAAGGCGCGTCATAAGCCAGCACTGGTCAAACTCACTGCTGTCCGACTGGCTCGGACTTCGACCCCCTCTCCACCTGGTTTCCAAGGCTATGAATCCTAATGGGAGGAGACTGCCCATCTTGTTCCACTGGAGTCACGGACAGTGCAACACACAGCGGACCACGGCACCACAGCTTCCCGATCCTGAGCTAGTACTTTCATTTTCCACTCCACCTTTTGCACAAATAATGTGTACAAGACTCATTCTATAAGGGAGATGTTAGCAATATCCCAAATGTCAAGCTCACTGTGGAAGTTACTATGTCGACCAATCCTGTTAAGGATCTTCCCTTCTTTCGCTGGTGGTGAGCTTTCCCAGCATGCTCTCTCTCTCCAAGGATTGGATCCTTGTTAAAATATGCCCAAAAGTAAGTTAGACGAAGTTTCACCATTCTTGCCTCGAAGGAGCACCCTTGATGCACTTCTTCCTCCAACACAGCAGTCCGTGGCATGGATATTCAATACACTTATCCAACACTACAATTCAAAGGCATTGATTCTTCTT